AAAAAAACACTCACCCACTGTCTGTAGCGAGAGAATCACCCAAAGGTTGAGCGTCACCAAGGATACCAATACCGGCCTCTTTTCTCCGTTGGATCCTTTCCCCGCTCTCGATGTCGGAGGCGAGGTAGCCCTTCACCAGCGCCTGCCTGCTGCCGTAGATGCCGGCGATGGACGGCCCCCGCTCCGCCTCGTACCCGTTCAGCGTCCCGCGGCCAGCCCTGTTGTCCACAAGTTCGCGCTGGCACTCAGCAGGGCGCTTGTCGTAAGGCGTGGCAGATGGGGGGCCGCTCTTGGGCAATTTGTATCCGTGTGAAATGAGGAGGTCCTCCACGCTGTACATGGTGGTGTGTCTCTCTCTCACTCCGGGGCGGGAGGGCAAAGGTGGGTGTGCTGCCTTATGCGCAGTGCCGCCGCTGGAAGCTGGAGCACGGTTGCTCGGCAGAGGCCATCACTAAGGAGAGAACAAGTAGGCAACATGTAACAGCACGCACCTGAGCCCAAAGTGTGTCATCTTTTGTGAGGAAAAACTCACCACCGGCTTAGCACGCACTAAAAATAAAGCAGTCATCAGCGCGTCTCAAAGCAGAAATCGCGGAGATACAGATTCTAAAGGTGAATGTCGACAAATCCAACGCTCCACCTTTTCTTATTCTCACTCTGTGGTGCAGTCCAGTTTAATTTTATGGAGAAGAAGAAGAAATTTGATCGTCACCTTCACTTTGTGTCCTTAAAGACTTTTCTGATGAGTGTGACTTAATTTTTCATTGTGCAGTCATTTAAAAAAGCAGGTGATTCTCAAACTGTTAAATCACCACCCCAATAATGATTTCTTTGACCCTTTTTAAACCAGAAGGGCTTGTTTTCTGATGTGACCTCACACACAAGCAGTTTCCATGCGGAAAAAACAACAGTGTCCACGACAACCAAACAAGCAGCAACTGAAGGGACATTTTATTATCTTTTTTTTATATATATTTACCCGATTGACAGGAAATAAATGACTTCACACCAAATGAGGACCACTCTCCGCACAAACTGAGGAAATCTCAGTAGCTGGGGGAGCTGCAGTATCTTTTTGCCCGTGTGGTAACGCAATACTGCCACAAAAAACATCCTCGTATTGACACCAACAACTAAGAATAAGAGTTTACTACAAAATTCTCTAGAATAAACTGTCATCAGTCCACTGTAACATCGTTCCTACTTCAATAACTGACAATGCCCGCAATTATTTAATATAGTCCTTCTGAAAATCTGGAAGTAGAATTCAGTGGACACTATTTCGATGAGCGTGCAACACAGCAGTCAAAACTGTCCAGGCAAACGCACAAGTTCTAATAAAACACAACAATCAAAGCATGTTTGGGCTCTTTGTGCACCTCTCTCTGGGTTTTCTTCTTTAATGTGTTGCAAACAGATTATTTAAAGACCTTTTTTTCCTTTCCTTTTAGATCCTGGATACATATATTTCTTCAATTAATTTACGTATGGATATTTATTCAAATTTTTATTATCTTATTTTAGATAAATGTTTCACTAAACGGAAAGAAAATGTTCATCATCACATTTAGATGTAAAAACTGAAGTTCTGATGTTTTTGTTTCAGCACAAAATGATGGAAAGAAAATGAATGCAAGGTTTTGCACAATTCAATGGTAGATTTGTCTCCATTTTCTGTACAAAAGTGTCGTTTTCTGGACTTTGTTTGCAACATTTGTATTTATTCAGTCACCTGTGACTGTAGAAACCCAAAACTTGAGATATTATCTTCTCATTTCTTGATATTAGTGTTCAGTCATCTCAAAAGTTCTAGTCTTTACTAAGCCACAGAATACTTAAATTACAATTACGCTGCGCTGTGCAATCTCAAAAGGAAATGTGTTTTCGTTTTATGGTGGAAGCCAGTTTTCTGCTAATTATTATTTTTATCAGGGGACGGTTCATAAAACCCACAGCTAATAAACTGAGGCATGAGCGGACAGAAATCAGTGCTGCACCTATATAAGAGTTTTTATGTTCATAGCTATAGGTGTACATTGGTTAATCATTTTCTGTATATCACTCAAAAACAACCGGACTATATATGACAGCGCGTTTCACTTCAAATTAAATCAGTTTGCCTTTTTCAAATAAAACTCTTAAAGTTTTTCTAGTCTCACTGACCTGTCAAAGTGCTTTACCCTACATAGCTTTCAAACACTGCTGGACACACCAGTGGATATTGCTCAGGACACTTTGACATGTGGCCCAACACAGAGTGGACACATCAGCGCTCTGATCAGCAGGCGATCTGCCTCCCGGCCGAGAGCAGCCCTAAAGTTCAAACAGCTTGTTTTTTTTATTTAAAAAAAGTCAGAGCTGGGAAAAAATAGAAAAAAATCTAATTTATTTAAAAAAAAATTCAACAAAAGTAATTTTCTGTATTTACCATTTATTACCATGCCATACGTCAAATTTATTGTAGTGTTCTTAGTGAGAGCGGCAGGGGTTTCCTGTTTTACAGCATCAAATTACAGTTTTTGACTGCTGTTTGATAAGTGAGGACATGTAACTGCTCATTTATTTGCAGCAGTAAGTGATCCCCAGTCTCCTACTGAGTGATCTGCTTGTTTTGTTCCAGCAGCAATTCATGCTTCGTTTTTTTTTCCAAAGACAAACAGAAAATTCCTCATTTTTTGGAAAACTTGACTTTTTTTTCTGTTGGAATAATTAGTTGAGTCTGATCACACCGATGAAGATCTGCATCAGTGTATTAATAATAATTATTTTTTTCACCTTTTATTAAAGTTATTCCTATAAATAATCTTCAAAAATTCCACAGAAACATGAATAACCTTCAGCAATTTAATACAGACAATTTCCCCCATGCACATGAAGAGGTGTGAGATACTCCTAAAGGGATTCGAAGTTTTACAAAATTCTATCATCTCCTCGTGACCTTAGAGTGACCTCTACTTTTCCCGCTCCGCAACTTTTCCCGCTCTGCAGCTGAGAGCCGCTGCTGGTGTGGGAGTTCGCACCGCACCGCTCGCTGCAACGCTTCCCTCAGTCTGGACGTAATTAGCCCCGTCCAGATGTACGTGGAGCTCAGCAGAAAACGTCCACTGACCATCTTCTCAAGGACAGCACATGTGAAAACGGATCAGGCGGTTGAAGAAC